ATATAAATAATTAGATAAATTATAATGAGTGGCAATATGGAAATTTATTCTCAGGTTAAGGGAAGTTTCCCATTCTGCCCTCGTCGGCGGTCGCGACCTCTCTGAGAGGAGTCACAGGGGAGGGCGTCTCGGTCTCTGATTTGACGCCTCCGTCGCTCGGAGATGGGATTAGTGTCCTTCGCTGGGAGAGTCTTCTTCGCCTCCGTCTTCCTCCTCGCGGCCTACCAGGAGTAATGCCGCTCTTCCCTCCTCTCTTCGCTCCGTTTTTCTTCTGGACTCTCACCTCTTCTCCTCAGTCGCTCGTTTTCTTTAGATCTGTTGTTTTCGTCACTGGATCTCGTCTTAATCGTGCAATTCCTTGCCTCTCGGCTCCAAACTTGGGGGTTCTGTTTTGATATGTGGACTACGGTTTAAGATCTCTTGCTTGTCGAAGGTTGGATGCCCTGAAATTGACGCGGACCGGTGCTGAAGGGCGGTGATATGCCCTGAAATTGACACGCTACATCCGGTGTCACACGCCAGGTCAGAATCCGTACCAAGCTGTTGCTTGGCACGTCTCGGGAATCCCGAGATGGCACCGCCCCCGAGACACGAGACACGACAAGTCAGAATCTGTACGAGGTACTGTTTGGCACATCCACCGTACCAACCCGTATACGACCGATCCTCAGACAATAGTATAAAGACCTTTGGTCTGCATCCGGGCCAAGGGAAAAAAACAATTCCACAAGCAATTGATTTGCTCGTCGGAGGGGCCACAGTCGGGAATCACCCGACGAAGGCTGTTTTTGCAGGTAGGCGGTCGACCCGAGCCACGAGCGCCTCGACCAGGAAATCGCCACCCAGTGAGGGAGGTCGAGCTGTCACTTATCTCGGGAACGGAGAGACGCAGCTCGACGCTGACGGCGCTCGGACCAACAAACGCTGACCAACACCCCGTTACGAATGCCCGACCCACCTGGGCGTCCAGCTCAGCCAACAGAGAACTCTCGATATCGACCCGTGGACCTAGTCGTGCTGACTCATCAGCCACGGCATCTTTGTTCACCAACAGGTGATTTCCATGTTTTTGTTGCCTTCTTGACTGCTGGATTGCCAGAGACAGTTTCATTTTATGCTAAACTTGTGTTGATCTATTGGTTTTTCCAATAATGATGTGTTTAGTGGTATTCTTTGATTAAAGCGAAGTTAGATCTTGAATTTTCTGCTCATGTGAATGATCATTTGGTATTCTAAACTGCCTTTATCTGTTAACGTTATCGATGGCGAAATAAGAACGGAACAGCTGAATAGAACTTTTTGGGATAAACTTTGATGATCATAGTCGTTAGGAAATGTGCTGGGAACCTATCATTACCTTCAGTTCTGGCAGTTACGGCAGAAAAAGAGCGAATTAATTCGATTGATACTTTAGTAATATTACCTATCAGCTAAACATGGTATTAGATCCTCCCAGCTATGACTTTTCCCTGCACTATTGACATCTTCTGTTGAAGGGTTGAAGCTCATTTAGTCATGATCTGCTACAAGCTTCATTAATGCTTATGGTCAAGACTTGGTCAATTTTTAGGAGTTGGATTGGATGCGTGATATTTGTCGAGCGTGTAGCATTGGTATCTAAGTCCCATCACTTCCTTTTGTGTATGAAACAGCTTTACTTATGTCCATGTGAAAATTCTATAGCCAAAGCGGTCATCGTTGGAAGAAAGCTAAACTAAAAATTCGTTCCCCATTTGATGGTTCTGAATGAGTAATAGGAAATATAACTTTCTTTGTTTGGAAATTTGCCCTCGATATTGTCCCATAAAACAACGGAATTATCACTATTTGGTGTGACCCAGAATCTCTATAGTGCAGCTAGCATGCACTGAGTTAATAGGACTATGATATTGAAACAGAAAGTAGATATACACTGAGCACCATGGGATGCCCTCTGACTCATGGTAATAGGTTCACTTGACATTTTGTTTTCTGATGCTCTCTGCCGGTCAGTGGTTGACATGCTTTGGTCTGTTATTTGAGTGTTGACAATGTCTTTTACTGTTTCAGTTGTGCAAAAATTGGTGCATGGTATATTGCAAAATCATTTTTTCTAAATTGGCAAAACAAATCTTTTGAAGAGTCTCTTTTTGTATTATGGATTAACCGCTGGTTAAACCATAAACGTGTAACTTTGAATTCCATCGTGGGTATGCCCTGATTAGTCTGATGGGTAGAGTTTCTGGTGGAGCATTTTCTTTAGTCAACTCTAATGCTACATTGATGTGGTTGGAGTCAATAGTTATGCATTCACTTTCATAGATCACTATCATACACACAAATACAATGACTATATTGATTAAATCATGCAGGCATTATAGTTGTCATTTGAAAGAAAATTAACTTTAACCTAAAAGATTGATATGTGGAGAATATAGTAGGTATAGCTTTTCAATTACAATGATGAAAATGTAATAAACCACCGAAAGCCTATGCACCTGATGGAAAATGGTTGGTTTGATAATCATACGGTAAAGATTTGGCTATGTCTGACATATTATAGTAGAGAGCTAAATCTCAATGTAATTTATATTTATTTATGCATATCATTTCTTGAGCAAATATTAAAAATGGTTGAAATATTTTTTTCCTTTTCATTATTCATATATATATATATATATATATATATATCTCCCAAATTGGACAGTGTTTGTAGTGTGCCTTTGACTTAGAATTAGGGATAGCATCTTCCATTGTATTTGACATGTTGTACTGAGTTAAGCTTCTTGGCTTTCTTGATTGCTATATTTTCTAGAGGTAAATATGATGAGTTTCCATCATTTTGTGTGTTTTTAGCTCCTGTAATATATTAAGTTTGTAAGTAAATTACTGGACTAAGCATTGGTTTCTGCATACATCTCATGAAGTTTGCAACCAGACAAACATCAGTAGTCATTACTAAATTAAAATTTTAAACCTGCCTCTTTTTACTGTTGAGATATTTGTTTTCGTGTGATGCTTATAATAAAGACTTCAAACGTTTTAGGGAATAGTTTTCACTCTCATGTTTAAAACTTGTGTCAATTAATTTAAATTCTTTTAGCTGATATATTTGGTTTTGTCAGGTTTAGTGAATTTGGAGTTGATGGTGGACCAGCAGCAAAGTCTCTCCGGCCAAAGTACAACCTATTCATGAAACATGTCTCTTCACATCTTGGCATTGTGGTGCCACATGTTGAAGTAGGAACCCACTCTTCCCCCTACCTCCTTTTGTTTCCCTCTTCTATATTAGTTAATTTTCTTCATCACTTTACAGATGAAACATGTTATTGCAAGCACCATATTTCTGAAAGGTTTTGGTGGCCTCTTGTTCATCTTCAGCAGCTCTTTTGGAGCATATCTTCTGGTACATAATACATATGTATATAAATAATTTATCAAGTTCATAATCCTTAATGTCTTCTTGAGCATGTATATAGGAGTACAAGACTTGTTCGAAATTGCTAACAAATTTGTGAATATAAAAAGTCAACAGGCCTAATATAAAAAGTCAACAGGCTAACAAATTTGTGGATCCTTCTAGTTAAAATTTTGAATATAGGTAGGTTGTCAGCTCTCTGGAGTAACTCCTTGGTATGCTCCAGCTATGGCATCTACCAGATGTTAATATATAATTAAGGAGTCCATCTCTTGCATAATATAATTGGACTAGTAAAGTACATCTAATTTGTAATGAAGAGTCATGCTTGTGCAGCTTCTGTACCTAGCTTTCATCACACCAGTTGTGTACGGCTTCTACAATTATGATATAGAGAAGTCAGAATTTGTGCAGCTTTTCAGCAAATTCGCTCAGGTTCACTCCTTTTATCACGTGTTCTGGCTATGTCAGTCCTATATTCTGGAAAAAATCTGTTGAACCAGATAAAAATTAACCGTTAGCAAGTTCTTGTAACAGAATCTGGCACTTTTTGGCGCACTACTCTTCTTTCTTGGCATGAAGAATTCAATCCCAAGACGGCAGCCTAAAAAGGTTCTCAAGTCAAAAAACAAATTAAACTGAGATGCTTGGTAGTGCATACTGTGCAAGTTGGTGAATCAGGTAATGTTAACGATTCGCACTTAAGGATTCTGCAGCATGTTCACCATTCATTGTCAAGAAGCAGATTTTTTGGGGAAGCATACAACCCTCACGAGATGTGAATTGCGGATTAGGATTGTGTTTCTAGTGTATCACTTTTGTCATTTTTCTTGGTTTAGAAGTCTGGACTGGAGTTGTCTGCTAGTTGATATTTACAAATTCATACATTTATGTACTTTTCGTGTCACTTAGCTGGCTGGATGTTTTGCAAATTTGAATCGTTGTTATGCAGCAAGCATTGGCTGGCGGGTTATCTCAACGGCTTGTATGTCTTGGCCTTGGTAAAAAAATGTCCATGGATGTCCATAAATAGCTAATCTGTTATTTCAACTTTCAGGTGCGAATTTTATGCTCTTCTAATATGAGAAAGAAATTTATAAACCTCACCTTCCTGTAACATTTTATCATGATTCTAACTGTGTATCCACATTCAGCTGGCTGATGTATGTAATCTCATGCACAGAATGCAAATGCATTTGGTTTGAGTGCAGTTTCAATGCGCGATTTGGTTACTAAAGTTAAGATATTCTATGTGATGATTTTTCCTTAATCAGTAAATTTCTTATCCGTACTGTTTGAATTTCTGATATGTTTTTTAGCATAATTTGGTTATTAAAGTTGTCCGGCTGGATTATTCCACGATGGCCGACTTAGCTTGAACTCTGAGAAAGAAAGTGATGGTAATTTGGTTTAAGGTAGATGGTGGTTGATTTGTTGGACTAGTAAGCAATTAGTTTAGAGTGATTTATCCTGATTATTGTAGCTCTGAGCTAAACGCAGCTGTTTTTGATGTTCTTCTTTTTGTGGTTGCAATGTTGTTTCGTTGCGTGTGTGTGTGTGTGTCTGTGTTTGGGTCTGCAATCTACAGTATTATTACCTGTGGAACATGTTTTGTAAACCTTTTCCAATTTCCATGCGCGATTTCTTCCTCTCTCTTTCTACCTTCTTCAATTTCTCTCTTCGTTCTTGTTTTGTCAACGAAAGGTAATTCCTCTCATCTACTTCCAATCCCCACTCATGAGAGCTCCTGAATGTTCAACTCTTCCTCGATCCAAGTCAATGTTCAACTCTTCCTGCGCACAGAAAGCCTCCACCTTCCCTGACAGTTGTTGACAGCACCATGACCATCACAGGATCACACTGTGGGCTCCCTAAACCCGTCATCTTAACAATGACGGGGTCCCAGACCTGGAAAATCTGCCTCCACATCAAACGACATCGCTCTCATCCAATTCAAGCTTAAGCCTGCAATGCATTAAACGTATAAATCACACTAGAAAACAGCATAGTTTGTTTGATTTCGATCGATGGCATAAAGAAACCTACAATGTGGCTCGAAAGCGAAGGCGATACGGTCGTGTCCCGCCACCGTCAGGCAGCTCCCTCTCGTGTGCGCTTCTTTGTCTCCCTGGTTTGGCTGGTGACGTTAAAGGGGAAGAAGAGGACAAACGAAAACAACTGTTAACAATATTAACCGCTGCATCCAAGGGCTAAGCCTCCATACCCTGCTATTTTAAGTCCAATCACACGTGTGTTGGACCCACATGCAACGCCGTGTCGGCTTGACCGGTCATGGTTCGATCCAGCCACAGCCCCCTGCTAAGTTTGACCAGCTACTAAATTTTAGGCAGCCATTAATCCTCAAGATAAGGTTTCTTCGTAGGTGTGTCTCCCATTCGAATTATTGTGTGTGGGAGAGTTAAGCCTATCATATGTTGTAAGTGTTTCACTTGAGAGAAACAAGAACATGAAAACAAGGAAGTCCAACTTAGCCGGTGGCTGTGTAGATCATCATCTACACACCACAGTCACCGACGCTCTCCAGCTCTTAGTCAAGCCACTTGCCATCTAGATTTGCACAGCTAGCATACAGCTCTCTCGTGGAATCATGTAAGCACCAAATCATCAGATTCAGACGTTCATTCCTTGCACTTGTCAGTTTGAGCTTTGATCATCACGTGAAAGAAATATTGACAAAGTGGTTTCTTCTTCTTGACTTGAAACTGTATCATCATCTTGCAGGAACAAAAATTAAGGTAAAAATTAGGTTAAGATAAGATGATCTACACAGAATGCTTTAACCCCAACCCAAATGCACAAAGTTCAAGCTGCCACTGTTTTGGTAATGCCTGATGCGTTGAGTAGGAGCATCAATACAATGTTCTTCATGTCCTAATGACCAGGATAACACAAATAGAAGGCTACATCATAGATGGGCGGCATGCTTAGGTCCACACGAAACTAGTTTTCATGCCTTGTGTGATTTCGTCAAAGTCCAGTTCTTTCACGCCTTCTCAGAGGAAACAGCTGTGGCTTAGTCATAGTATAAGACCTGTAAATATCACTTCACAGTAACACTTTTGTATGTATCTCGTAAGCTTCATAATAAGTTTCTGAACATACATACATCATTTTTCCTTGTCTGCAAGCGTTGGCAAAGTATTTTTCTTCATGTCTATCAAGTAGATCTTTTTGGACATCCCCATATTTCTAAGTGCCAAACTACTGGCATAAAGAAGAAGAAGAAGAAGAAAAACCATTGGTTGTAATTAATATATTACGATCATGTGTTGATATCTGATTTTGCCTATTCACCAACCATAGACCAGTCATGTTCCCTTGGCCTTTTGCTACACCCAATGATGGAGAAAATAACCAAGTCTTATGTGCATTGATATATACATATCAAATCTAATACATGTGCAGGTGCATCAACTTTCCATATGTTAATATGATAAGCGTCCCTAATAGAAGTAATTAAGAACACCGATAAGTTTAGGCCTCGGGATGCAGATAGTCTATGATGCCTTTTAGCGGCACGCTAAAGAGACCGGAAGTGATCTCAGCAATCAAACAATCTATCTTCCTCCTCCTCATTGCTTGCTTTACCTTTGGAAGCTGCACCGCTTTCGCATCTCCGGTTTAACGTTTGTCTCTTCTTGGCCTTGGTTGACCCAATTCTCTCCTCTCATGTTGATCAACAATGACTTGGGAATCCATCAGCTTCGTGTTAGCGTTAGCCGGTGGGTCCTTTGGGATTTCTTGAATGGAATGTGAAATGTGTATATAGAACATGCACGACGCAGATTAAAGTAATGAGAGGTTGTCGGTCATCGGCAAGACAAGGACGCATTAAGTATCGAGGAAATGCTGTCGACCCACGTCGGAACCCGGCGTTTATAAGCGACCCAGGTGGTGCGTCTCGAATAGCTCACCGGTGAACTGCACCACGTAACGTTTCCGAGGGTGGAAGATGGCAGGACTTGGCTCTCCCTGCGGAGCTTGCAAGTTCTTGAGGAGGAAGTGCGTCAACGGCTGCGTCTTCGCACCGTACTTCCACCACCAGCACGGCGCAGCCCACTTCGCGGCCATCCACAAAGTCTTCGGTGCCAGCAACGTCGCCAAGCTGCTCATGCACCTGCCCATGGCGGATCGCCCAGAGGCCGCCGTCACCATATCCTACGAAGCACAAGCGAGACTCCAAAACCCTATCTACGGCTGCGTCGCCCATATCTTCGCCCTCCAGCAGCAAGTGAGCAACCTCGTTCGTGTGTCACTTCATCCTCGGTGACATTAATGCTTGATCTGCCTTGCTCTGTAGGTGGTGAATCTGCAAGCACAAGTAGCCTCGCTCGAGGCACAAGCCGCGCGAAGACGTGGGAACGGCATTCCCGTCGGTTCCATCGGTCAACTAGAAGACATGCTCTGCAACACAGGGCCACCCCATCGACAAGATCTGCAGGGCTTCATTGATCAGGCTGGGGATAGGAAGACGCCACCTCAGTTTGCTTCGACTCTCTCGATGGATGTGAATTGGTACCCCAACTCTGTTTGGTCCTTGGAGGAGAGCACGCCTCCGACCAACTTCGACATGGCCGATGAGGATTTCTCCTTCGAGGCTTTCTCTCTGACGTCCTGTTTTGACATGGAGGACGAGTTTTGGAGGTCAGCATGCCATGGCAATGGAGACCTGCAACCAGCAGCCTCTGCTGGTGCTGGGCGTTCATGGGGTCGTGGGATTCATTGACGTCTCCGTTCCATTCTTTACTGTCGATGCCATCGTTCTTTACTGCCGATGCTCGACATGCATGAGATTTGATTCCAATACAATTATATACAGTTAATTAGCAACAAGGTACCCAATTGTTCTTAAGAGGAGAATCTAAGGATAGATTCAGGGCTTCTTTCTCGTACCTGTCTGTAGAACAGTGATTAATATGGAATCTTGTTCTTTGTGAGATTAGGATGATCAGGTGGAGTGCTACCTCTGCAGTTGGATGATATATGTGAAACACCGAATGCTCAGTGTTATGCTAAACGCCTTTGAAATGAGCTGAACTCGAGTTCTATTTGGGGCAGCAAATCTACTGTAGCAACACAAAAACAAAAACCTTCAGATAGCTGAACTTGAGAATTTGCAGAAACTTAATGGACAAAAATAACATGGATTATCTATCCAGAACTATAATCTGATTTTTGCAACACCAATTTGACAATATTAAGCTCATATAATAGTGTATCCTTTTGAGTCCATAGCAGCAGTTGATATCCTTCAAACTCACCACCTGTGATGAAACACCAAAGAAAGTGGGGAATGCTCGGATCCTACTCTTGTGTCAGAGCTCCCTTCTCATCATTCCCTTCCTTCCATCTCAATACCATCTCCTAAGTCCACTCTTCACCTGACTCTCTAAATCCACCACCACCTTGCAGCACACATGATCAGAACACTATTCCGGCAAATCTACCAAATTCCGGCCCATGCCAGTCCTCGAGTCCATCCCAATCTCACTTGTTACTTCAAGAAGAACAAATCATCCTCTGTAGCAGAGATCCTAAGCCCACACACCGAAGACTGACACTGGGCTGGACCATGTCGTGCGCCTATAAACTGAGGCCTACTTCTCCTGTTCTTGATAGAATCAACGGAGGACGAACTCTAGCAAGTCTTAATTGTTACCGTAGTGTAGCAGTCAAGTGATTCATATGATATCAGATTGAACCGAGAATGGATTGTTAATGTCGTAACACGAAGTTTAGCAGCACAGCAAAAGCAGAAGAGACTGAAATGCCGAAATCAACTGACGCTTTCATCCCACCTTTTGACTTCCAATAGCTTTAAAAGTTAAAAACACACCAAATCCCACTAACAGAACCGACGAGAAGTACACCACTTCGGCTCGATTACGGCAACTACAGAAACACCACCCACCCATCTCTGTAACTTTAGAGAAGAGGAAGAAGGAAGGGAACATGGTGACAACGAGAGACATGCAAAAGGCTGGAAGAACACAAAAGGGTGAGGCCCCAGTCTGATGATGTTCTCCACTGGGGGAAAACTCCAAAGAGAAAGGAGCTTAATTATGAGATGGTATGAAAGCCAACCTATACCATTATAAACCTTTTGACCTGATCTGTTCATGCTTGGCTCTACTTATATTTGTGGGGTTCGGTCAGCGTTGGGGACCAATATCGTATGTGATGCTTCATTCCCATCATCATCATCATCAGAAGAAAAGGTTATGGATCACATACATCGTTTTGGACTAGAGAAGGCCAAGTAGTTACTCACAGAGGAGACGTCATTCCATGCGTATAACCTGAGTGAACTACATCTAATGCACTGTGCTATAGATTTTGCTTACATCTTGATGAGGAGATCTAACACTATACAATTACTAAAATATTATGTGAGGTCCGGACTTACAAGGCTTACGATATGATACCAATTAGAGAATTGATTCATTGGTGACTCAGCCGCTGCCTGAGTTTGATGAGGCCAAAACATGAGCACCTTCGAGAGAGCACGTCAACCCTTGCAAGGTCTCGGGGTGATTCAGCCGCTTGCCCGGCACAAGTCCAAAGAATAACTGACGCTAACTGCGACCTGACCCGACTACGGGGCCCACGTCTTGCACCAATCAACTGAGGAGTACACGATCGGGTGCCGCGTCGATGACTGAAGATACATTATAATTTTCCACGTGACAGGTCGACTTCTTGCGATGAGGTCCGATAAATGAAATGGCACCACAAACTGCCCTCGCTGCTCTCTTCCTTCCTCCTCGTTTAAACGCTCTCCCCGTCCTTCCCTCATTTAATTACTGCCCTTTCTCTCTCTGAAAGGAGGAAGAAGGAGTCCTTCCGAATGCTCTCTGCCAATTCGAACTCCGGAAAGCGACTCCTTTCCTCGTCTCGTCCGTTCTTCTGCCCTCACCCATCCCTTCTGCAGCCCTCGCTAGGTTCTGTTGAGTGCAGGTTTGAACTGTGTTCTCCGAGTGGCTGGCTGACTGAGATTAATGGAGTTCGGGTGGAAGCAGGAAAGATGAGATCTTTGGAATCGAGGAGGAGAATGGAAAGATTCCATTTGTTCCTGCTGAAATTGCATGCTGGCGAACTTCCTATCCGGTAAAGATCGGTGCTTTCTTTGTGTCCCGGTAGGTCTTGGATTCTTACTTGATTCTGACTGCTGATTTCATTTTCTTGTTTCTTTCTCCTTGCAGAAGCCTAGTTTGAATGTGATAGGAGGCGCAGAAAGAGCCAGGGACTTTGCTAGATCTGTCCACGGCTCGTCTGAAACCCTAGCCATGGTGGCGGAGCCCTGGATTAACAAGATGCGGACTTCCGTCGCCGCCGCCAAGAGAAAGAAGAAGAATGACGGCTCAAATCCGTCGCCTTCCGCCGCCACCGTTGGGATACTCTCCTTCGAGGTCGCCAGCGCCATGTCGCGCGCCATCAGCCTATACCGCTCCCTTTCCGAATCTGAGATGGCCAAGTTCCGTTCCCAGACCCTCGCCTCCCACGGCGTCCGCCACCTCGTCTCCACCGACGAACCCTTGCTTCTGTCCCTCGCCCTCGCCGAGATGCTGGACGACCTCAACGGCGTTGCTGCCGTCGCCTCTCGCATGGGCCGCCGGTGCTCCCACCCGGCCCTCGTCGGCTTCGAGCACGTCTACTCCGACCTCCTTGCCGGCCGAATCGACCCCTCCCGACTCGGCTTCCTCTCCAAGGACATGGATGGCACTATCCGGAAGATGGAGCGCTTTGTCTCCGCCACCGCAGCGCTCTATGCCGAGTTGGAGGTCCTCACGGAGCTAGAGCATGCTGCCAAGAAGCTCCACCAAAACCCAGTCCACGATGAGAGCCGACGGGCCTTTGACCAGAAGATCGAGTGGCACCGCCAAGACATCAAGCACCTACGCGAATCTTCCCTTTGGAACCAGGTTTACGACAAGGTCGTCCTCCTCCTTGCCCGAGCTGTCTGCACCATTCATTCCCGGATATGCCTGGTGTTTGGGGAGACAATTAGCAGCTTGGATAACCTAGTTGCTGATCAACGTTGTCAGCTTTCGGAGCAAATCATTAATTCAGTTCATCACCCAATTCATTCAGGGTCCCTAAGATCAGGTTCTATAGATGGCAAGTCCGATCAGATTCCTAAGGTAGCTTCTGATGCTTTTACTGATGTGAATTTCCGGAGGGCGGAGGGCCTCCGATTCCATTGTGGGGCAAGTCCCGGTAGGCTTTTCATGGAGTGCCTCAGCTTAGGCAGCTCTGCTTTATTAAAAGAGGGCAATGACAAATTCGAGAATGAGAGCCGCATCAGTCGTCCTGCATCTGGTCCTTTAGTTCCATTTAGTGGTCAAGTAACACAGCACATGAGTGGCAAGAGATCAAAACTTGGACCAATTAGTAAGCTTACGATGCTCGCCTCACCCTCCACGGTGGGTGGTTCAGCTCTTGCATTGCATTATGCAAATATCATAATCATCATAGAGAAGTTGCTGAAGCATCCGCATCTGGTCGGGGAGGATGCAAGAGATGACCTATACCAGATGTTGCCCTCAAGCTTAAGGGCAGGTCTCCGAAAGAGTCTCAAGTCATATGTGAAAAATCTAGCTATTTATGATGCTCCACTTGCACATGATTGGAAGGAAGCGCTTGATAAGATTTTGAGCTGGCTTTCACCAATGGCTTATGAGATGATCCGTTGGCAGACCGAACGGAACTTCGAGCAACAGCAAATTATATCGAGGGCAAATCTTCTGCTGCTTCAAACTTTATATTTTGCTGACAGGGAGAAGACAGAGGTAGCTATTTGTGAGCTTCTGGTAGGGTTGAATTACATTTGCCGGTATGAACAGCAGCGAAATGCTTTGTTGGATTGTACTAGTAGTTTGGACTTTGATGATTGTATGGATTGGCATATGCAATACATATCTTAGCTTCGCTTGTAATTTATTCAAATTTAAATAAAGATTTGGTGTTCTTTTTTCCTATTTGTGCTTCCAGTAGATGAGGCAGAGTTGCTGATGTTCTATTGTCCAAGATATAGATTCTTACTTCTAATGCACGTAGACCCTTCTGTTCGGCATTCGATGATACTTACCTGTCGAAGTTTCACACTTTTGATTCAATATGATTCTTCATGCCTGCACACAGTATGCCCTTGCGTTCTGCATTTATTCTCTTCATTTGCTATATTTAAATTGATCGATACTTCGCTTTGGGAAAGAATTTCTGGTAACTCAGAGAACTAAATTTTATAGTTTTGATGGAAAAACTCATGCTTGCGACCCACCCTATTTGACATTATTAAATTTCTCATTTCTAGGCATACCGACTCCTCAGCGAGTATCTTTCTTCTGACCCTACAGAAGGAGACCATCCAACATGCTATTATTCCATGCCAAGTGAGTTTTTATGCACACTCAACTCTCCCACATCTTTACATATCTTTCTCTATTATCTTCTTTGAGTACTCGAGTGAGTCTACAGTAAGTTTACATAGGCTTTCTGCTTTACAGCTTTATCATTTCTAGGATTCTTTAATCATTCGTTTTTATACAAATCACAAATTTGATAATTCGTTAGCTAGCACCTTTCATGGTTAATTATGATTCCAGATTGAGGTTTCCCTTCATAAGAATTCAATACATTAAATTGTTATTTCATGGTCAAGGTTTTTCTAAAGATTCTCATTGTTGTAGCAGGAGCTTTAGACTTGATTCCTTTGATCTCACTATATTATACACAAACTGAGATTTATTCTTACAAACTATGAACTAGGCAGTGGACGGGTTTCAAGTTACTCTATTATAGGCATCTTTCTTGCCTATATTAAAGGCAATTTATGTTTTTTCTTTTCATTTTGGATTTTGCTCTTTGGAAAAATTATTGTTTCTTTAAAATTTTTGAAGGCACAATTTTTCCACATTGAGTATGATCTTACTGCTGCCAATAATATGTTACAAATGCAAAAAATCAGCATCAAGTTTCCGATATATCAAAGGTACTCTTCCCACATCTTGTGATTTTTGTGTTGATAGTTAGTGAGCTGACAGCTGAATAGGGAGCATCGAATAGATCAATTTTATGGTTCATTTTTTTATGTTTTCTATCCTATTTGCACGCATTGTATAAACCCTTTTCTTCATCTAACAAATTGATTCATGGACTTCTTATTTGTCGTGTTTACATTTTTTTTTCCCCCTTGTATTATAGACCTGTGATCAACAAATATGCAGAACCTGTTTGTGGAAATATGACATGTTTTCTTCCATTTCTCCATAATATCTTGGCAAATGATCAAGCACCAAAACATCTGTTTGCTTCATGTGTCTATCACTTGACCTCTCTACTGGAGTTTGATTTCTGAAATCTGAACATCCAAGTTTCCATTCAAGAGCAGTCTTGGTATGTGTCCTGTTGAAGTTGTCAGAGAAGCAGCCCCATTAAATAGTTTTCTGACAAGGTATGTTTGATTAGTGCTAACATTAATGTATGCCCACATACAAATCCAGTATCTTGTATTTATGTGTCAGGTGTTCATCGTGTAAGCAATGAGATTATGGGCTGGGCAAAGAAGGTGCAAGAAACAAGTTGAACTTTACTTGCTTGTAGGTTGGTTGGCAGAAGTACAAGGATTTGCCCACCACATTTAAAGCTACTCGCCATTAACGCGAGTCTTCTCCACTTGAAAACATTTCATGGAGCATTCATGGCTCTCCAGCCGACTCTCCCTCGATGTGGACCCTTGCAGCTGAAGCCTTCACAAGTGAAATTAAAAGCTGGATATAAGAGTGACAGGCGTGGGTGGGAAGGAGGGAGACGAGCATTCTCGTGTGATAGCTTTTGCTGTTGATTCAATGGTGCATTAAAGATCTCCCATCTCCTGGTGAAACCTGTTCGAGGAATCCCCCTCTCCCGGACCTTGATTTCTCCCGGCAATGCTTTTGATCTAATGGTGGGTCAATCTTCTGCGAAGAAGTAGCATTGCACAAATAATGAGGTTTCGTCCGGAGGGAGGATTCATGATGAGGCCAACTGTCGCTTTCCATGGCCATAGAGAGCAAGCGTCTCTCTGGCCAACTTCTCTGTGCATGGCAAAAGCTTCCAGCGGAAACACGCGACATTGTCGAGCTATAATCAAGACATCAAGTTGATTACACCGAGTGGGCAAAAGCTTTCGGCCATCAAAGGATGTGCTTTCGGAAGGCATCAGCCATTGTCTGTTTGTTGGGCATTGGGGCCTCTCTTTGCTGGGAGAAGCGTGCTCTGCTTTTGCAGCCAACTTTTGATTATGGCTCCGCTGTGCTCCAACTTTTTTCTTGCTCGTTTCATGAGCTCTCTCCATCTGGAAAAGAACAACATCAGTAGATAAAACAAAATCATAATCAATCATTCTTTTGAGTATCTACTGCAGGCTGCAGGGAGATTTCTGGTCACGACCAATGTGTTACTATGAATTGGTGTCTCTCATTTATGATGTTACTTCGAAGAATCCCATCTGCACACCTTAGCCTTTGTCGAGGTTGAATCATCAGCATCTTGCTAACCCTGTTCTTGCAAATTTACTACATGCGAGTTTTTATTTTGGCCTTTCTCACGAGGTGCCCCACTTTTTAATTTTATCATTTGGATGCTTTTTTTTTTTCTCGAATACCTTAAATGTCTCTCCTTGCGATCACCTCCTCTTGTAAGTGAGCATTATCGATCATTGCCTTCGTCCCAGTGCACCTTCACGGTTCCTTTGTCATCCTCATCTCTTGAACCCTAGGTTATCCTTATCCCCATCTCATGAACCCTAAGTTTTCCTTATTCATATTTTCATTGTCATTGAGAAATTGAGAAAGAAACCCTTGAAAACGAGTGGCTTAAGACATTCCTTGGTATGTTGACAGCCTTTATAGTGATACTGTCATTTCACTAAACTTTGTCCAAGCCTATTTTGAAACGATGATACAAAAGTCTGTTGAGATCCTACGAATGTGAAGGAGGCAATGAGGTCGAAGTAGAGGGGCGAAAGCAATAGCGCAGGGCAAATGCAACAAAATAAAATAGAGATAACGATAGACAATATTTGCCCAAAGGAGAAAATAACGACAACAAAAGGTATTTAGAGAAAAAATATATCAAATTAAAAATTATGAACACCTTTCGAGAAAATCTTTTAAAAAGAAATTTTTTTCATAAAAATCACCCACAGGCGTGTGCTATATATATATATATATATATATATAATAGCAAACTCTCATCTTTGGAGGTTGCGTGTTTTTAAAACAAGAATAGATGAAATACAAATCCCAGAGTTTGTAGTGCATTCACTAAAAATTTCAGAATTTTATTTAATTTTCAAGATTTCAAGGACAGCATCTTTATAGCGAGAATTCAACGATGGATATTTAGTGATAACCAAATCCTCCACACCTTAATCGAATCTGCTTTAACAGCAAATAAGCCCAGTAGATCACAACATAAACACATCAAGATGGCCATCGATGGGGGTGGGCAATGCCTCTTGGGCAGTTTGATTGATCCAAGTAACCATAGCAAGCACCTGATAACTCTGAAGTGCTAAAATTGGGTTGAAGGGCAAAGCTTGTGTTCAATTCTAAGGCTAAATCAAAGCCATCATCTGAATCCTGTGTACATGCTTGGAGTGTGCATACTTATATCCACGGTGTTACAAAACTCTGTGGAATACAAAAGGAAAAAAGAAAAAGAAAAAGAAAAAAAAGAAAAATCAGATTTGGACAGGAGACCTCATGAGTGCCCCATGTTGCATTACAGCTGCTCTATGAGTTCTGAAGGACCCTATAAAGCTCATCTCCCATTGACTGTAATGTTACAGGTTTTCTAATTAAACCATTCATCCCGGACTGCAAGCACTTCTCCCATATATCGCCCTCAGCACTTGCTGTTAAACCTACGATCAAAGGCCAAGACCTGCTTCTAAACTTCCTAATCCTCGTCGCCACCTCAAATGCATCCGTTTGGGGCATGTGAAGGTCCAACATTATGAGTTGGAATGGTGTAACTGGGGCACCATATGAGTTCAGGCACTGAATTCCAGAGGCAACAGATGAGACATGGCAACCCAGTTTCTCGAGGAGCTTGCGAGTAACGGCCCTGTTGATGCCATCAGTCTCAGCTAGCAGAACTCTGAGGCCTTTGAAGTTGGGGGTGGCAGATGTAGACTGCAGCTCAAAAGATCCTCTGGCCTCAGGCATTGCCATCAACCGTTGTAATTGGAATTGAAGAGCAAGTGTTATACTTTCTGACTGGCCTTGCAGGGTTTTAGCTTCCCAGATATTTCCCTGCATCATCTGCACATACAAAGAAAGTGTTTCATGAGCCACTCTGAAATTAGCTGCCTATCTGATGTCCTTTTGTCAACCATCCTGTCAGGGTCGAAACAAATGTAACAAGCAATTACTTAGGGTATTGGGTTTAGGCTTGTAAGGTTTATCAAAGGTCAAAACATCAGAAACTTGGGAACTAATCATTGTCAAATATGACATGATAGATTAGCATGCCAGGTCTTAGCATATATTAGTATGCCAGAAATCCAATAGTTAAACAGTTGCTGAATGCATGGAATTGGTTGTAATTGTGGGTTAAAAACCACCATCCATAGAGAAGAATAAGATGGCAGACTGAGTTTCGGACAAGGTTTTCCAATTTTGATGCGCTAGGTAATCAGTCATAAAGATCCCTGTATTCACTACTTTGTTTTGCAAAAATGATTTCGTCCCAAGCATGTCATCAAGTGTATCCCCATCTATTTCTCAGTCAATAAAAATTTATGGCTTCGTGCACTGCTAACTTCTGCATATTGCTATAACATGATTAATAACCAACCAGGATACATAGGTGGGTTATGGAGGTCGATGTCATGTAAGCAATATGATACGAGGAACGAGGCTAAGAGTTTGTGGCACTGTATTTTACATATTTCTTTTAGCAATTTCATATCTAAATGCTGCCACCTATGAAGGTATAACATGATTCTTGGAGGTTATGAAAGATGCTACAGAATACGATGTTTTAAGACCCACGATCGGCATCTATAGAGCTTAAAAATATAGAGTTCCAATGCACCAAGAGATCCAATGCACTGAATCATTAGACATAAAGGAACTGAAAGATCCACTGCACTTTAGCAAGTTTAAGAACCTTTTAAAGAGTATTCAAAAGATTAAAGTGACCAAACTGCACATATAGTTCTTTCATGTGATCAATCTAGGAAGAGAAAGAAAACCCAGTAATTTTCTTAATGAAAATTTCAACTTGCAATGTCTCACTGAAAAGAGGTTTCTACTGCCAATTTATTTTCTTTAAGGTACTTTCAACTTCCAAAATCTCATGAAGAAGAGCAGAAGCCAAAACAAGACAAAAATGGACAGATCAGAAAGGAATGCAGTAAGTTGTAAGTTGCCCATGAGTTAACAGTAACATCAACCGTGTAAAATGCAAAATGCTTTTAAGGTCATTGAGTAGATTTTTAAGGGAAATGGGAGATGATAAATAGTACCTGCACAAGCCTCTTGAACATTCGAAAGGTAAGGCCCATCTCCAAACCTTGAGAATCTGGTACCCGAGAAGACTGAACTGTCGATGAACTCAATTTATCGGTTTCTGATCCTTTTAACCTGACCTCAAACTTCACACAAGCATACCCATCAGAAAAGTTTGATTTCCATGGGACCCATGCCTGATCTTCTTTGTCACTGACCCCTTGATAGCCCATAACCCGGAACATCAGAGAACCTTCATCACACCCATTTAAAACAGTACCAACCATATGCAGTATCACATGAAAAATTCGCTTCTCATCACCAACAACCTGATCAGGCACTTCATTTTCTACCTGGAAACTGAAACCAAATCGTCTAAAATCGCAAAGACATCTTGCAGCAGTAATGGCTTCCTTGATCATAGAATGCAAGTGAAAAGGTCTCATTACCAAGGACACTCGCTCACTGTTTACAGTAGAAATTTCCATCACATCATTGACCAATGTCGAAACCACACTGCTACTTTTTGTGATAGTATCTATGATGAGCCTTTGTTCGGGACTTAATTTGTCTTGTTGCATCATCGACAACAAACCCAAGATGGAATGAATGGGTCTTCTCATTCCCTGACTCATGGCAACTTGGAACTTGTTCCTTGCTTCACTTGCCCTCACAGTGTTCTGTCTCGCCTGAAGCAGATCTCGATTCTGTCGCACCAACTTCTCCCTCATCAATTGTGATTCCTCTAAAACTGCAGCATGGGAGAGGGCAACAGCGACCTGATCTGCAACAACCTCCACAATCTCTAGTTCCTGATGGCTCCAAACCCTTGAAGCATCCCTAGGGAGGACTAGAACCAGTAACGCATAGCTTGCTTGCACATCTTCTGGTGTTCCACCTTTGAAATTGGAAACCTTTAGCATCGGCATCCGTGTTGCGGCCACAGCTCCTGACTCAAGCATACCTCCGCTACTTGCAGACCCGAGCACGGAGCCAGTACCAAGTATCTTCACACCCTTGGTTTCTTTGATTTCTAATATATCTGGGTCGTCAATAGAAATAGAACGGCTGTACAAATCCGAGGAGCTCCTCTGCCTTAGCTGATGAGTTAGTTGCATCTCCTTCTTATTCTCATCAGGCATCCACACTACACAGTTTTGCAGGCCCAATGTTTTTGACAGTTCGACCATAGTGGTGTATAAGATAGTATGCCTGTCAAGTGACTTGCGGATTTCTTGAGTCAGCATTCGTACATGCCAACTGGCCTCTTCCTGCATCTTCATCATGCCGACCTCCCTGTTCAGTTCCCGAGCTTTTAGTCTCAAGAAATTCTCCCTCACCTTCACTCGCAAGAGCTGAGGGATCAAGGTCAAGAGGGTTATTGCTGTGGCAAAAGACACGAGCGCAGTGAAGAATTTGGAAACGGTCAAGCTCAGCATCAGGAGAAACGAATGTTGCTCGTAAGTGAACACATTTAGCAAGTGTGTCAGTCCACACAGGACTATAAAGGCGCCGAACTGGAAGACGATCCATTTGAAGGGGAAGAGGTCGGAGCATGTGGCAAAGTACAAGAGCTCGAGGGGGATGGAGAAGTAGGCAGCAGCAATCAAGAAATCGCTCGCCTTCTGGCACTGGAAAATGTTCTCAACATTCCAAAAGCTGTCCCCATCGCAGTTGCATCGTGAGTAACCGATCCCAGTTGCAGATGCAGACAATAGAATGGAAGAGATTAGAAGCCCATGGAACAATGCTCTTAACATTTGAGCTAGGACACCAGGTTCATTTCATTTGACTAGAAACCCCAAGCTTGTAGTTTGCTCATAAGATCACACTGCTAAGTCCCTAAAAGCTAAAGCTTCCAGCAGTTGATCCGGATGCCTAGAATCAAATGAAAGCAAATTTGTTATGAACTGAAAAGTAATCGGGAAAGAGAAAACTAGCATCAAAGCATACTTCATTCAAGAAATTACTAGGACCCTTCGAACTCCCAAAAGTATGTTGATTTAGTATCTGTGACCCAATTCAGAAGGCAACAATAAGATCCCACGATAAATTTATGATCCAAATGGAAACTTTACGTCATTAATCTTATCCTAATACGAACGAAAAAAATAATAAGAAAAAAGAAAGACCGAATCTTGAATCTCAGAACCGAGCATCAAGAAGCTCCTCCCGATAACATGCTATTCAGAAAGATGAAAATTTTAACGAAGAGAAAACCTACAAAATTTCACACGAATCTAAATGAAAATCCATTAAAGTAACCAAAACAATCCCAAAAAACTCGAGATAAGATTTCGAAAGGCAACCCTAACCGATAAAATTACACCAAAACAAAAGAAAATGAAATCAATGGATCCTAAAGTTGCAGAAAACAAAACCAAAAGGACCTTTTTATTATGGATCCACCACCGAAAGAAATAAATCTCACCTCTCGCACATCTATTTTCCCAAATTCCCTGAGTGCCAGAAAAAAATACACAAGAACCATCAATTCCAAGCCAAAGGGAAAGGCGACGGCCCGCCCGAACGCAGCCAGCAGCAAGCGAGAGCGAGGACCATCACCCAGGAGACCACCATCTCCAATCCGTCGCCCCGTGCAAGGAGGACTGCAACGACCGATTCAGACCATCGTCACGACCGGGAGCCGCAGCTCCCTCCAAGGAGGAAAAATCGTCAGCCAGTCCTCCGATCCTCCTCCAAGGCTTCTCCGCTTTTTTCCGCCCGCATTCCGATGGCTCGAGGCGCTGGAAACGGAGCAGCAGCGCAAGGAGAGGAAGGAAGGAAGAAGAAGGAAGAGAAACAGGGGGAAGAACGAGGTCCAAGTAAGCGAGAAGCGTCCTTTTTCTATTATCACCCACTCTTTTATCTTTACCGCCCCTCACACTCGGGTCTCCTCGAGAGTTGCATCATTCATCAAGACACAACTCCACCGTTCATTTTGATCATGTGCAAATTTTCGAAGCGTATTCTATTGGGAGGGTTTCCCAGGAAGCCCTTCGTATGGGGAAAGGGGAGGGGTGAGGATAACAGTACGATGGGGATGGAGATAAGCGAACGGGTTGCTCAAAACCAAGGCGGAAGGGGGAGGGGAACCAGGCAGGGATGCCGCCGTGGGGCCCGCAGATGGACGTGGGTGTCCGGCCGCCTGGGGTGTTGGTTAAATCCCAAACCTCGACTACCCACGCGAATCGTGGTTGTTTTATATCGACGTGAGGCGAACCTGGACGCCCCACCCCTTCCCCCCCGGGCCCACCCGTCCCCATCACCCGGATATTTGTCCACGGAGGCCGCCTTCATTTAATTCTTTTCTCCTTTTTCTTTTTATTGTTTCTATTTTTCGGAAAATGAAGCCTCTTCGTCCTCGGCCTCGTCCTCGTCCGCCTCGTCCTCCCCGTCATCGTAATCATCACCAGGATGAAGCCAAACACAAAGGATGACGAAGGATTTGTCTCTGCGCTGCCACAGGAGTTCGTATGCGCCCCATCCCCACCAACTGTCGTGCATCGTCGTAGCATTTCTATAATACTGTCTTAAGAGTGAAATAATATCTTCTTTCCCCTGCTAAGGAGATTTATGATCGTATGATATTGCCCATATTTTCATAGGTTATTCACATTGAAAATTCCTCCTTCCTCTCCCTGACTGGTACAGTGCCAAGCCATGTCGCCATTAATCCAGTTCCTTCAGCGGTGGTGCATTCCCCCTGCTAATATGGAGTAGGTGCTGCAGTTGAGCTGCGAGTGGTCCTCGTGGTGTACGGTCAGAGTGCTTCGGGGTGGGGTACCGAGGGACCTTTTTGAATGCGAGAACACAAGTCCAACCTATCTGACCCTTTGAGCGAAGGTATAT